TTTTTTTTTTTTTTTTTGGGTACATCAAAAGCTATTAAAAGCTTAGTTTATGGGGAACATAGTCCCAGTACAGTCGTTTTGCAAAAGCAAACTAACACCTATTGGGGGTGTTGGAAAAAAAGTAGTACCCAACTCAAGATTATGCCCAACGGAGGCCATATAGTCCGCAACTGCATTACCTTCCCTAAGAGTGTGATGTACCAAGCAAGAAGTGAAAGAGTCAAGTAAGAAGAAGATATCAAATAGAAGCACCAAAGCCGCGCCAATTGACACCTTTCGAGCCTAAATTAGTTGTATTGCCGACAAGGAATCCATTTCCAATATTAATTGTTGCACTCCAAGGGAAATTGCAAGTTTAAGATCTTCTCTACATCCCCATAATTTAGCCAAAAACCTTGTGGTAATGCCCACATTTATAGCAAACCCATGATGCCAACGCCTATAATGATCGCGAAGCAATCCTCCTGTAACTGTCTTACCTAAGCTATGATCATGTGATCCATCTTTATTAAGTTTAAGGAAATGCTGGGGTGGAGGGGTCCAATTGACCCATCTAGGGGTTTTTAAGGTGCGGGTTGCTTTAGCCTCAAAAGCAAGTTCTGTTTCCAAGGCCAATTTGCTTGCTTGTTGAGTGATAGTTAGCAGTGGGATCCTTTGCACCTTAAATATCAGCTTGTTCCTATTTTTCCATAAATACTAGATAGTTGCAGGAAAGATGCTTGGCCATGTGTCTAAAGCACAGCGTCTCCTCCTTGGTTTGGAAGAATTTTTTCTCAACCAAGGGTCAAGATCCAACTAGAAGAAGTCTTTGGGAAGAAAATTAGTGGCATCCCAAATGAGCCGTGAGTAGTAGCAATCCCACAAAAGATGTAATGGGGTTTCAGGTGATTGCTTGCAACAAGGGCAAACTGGAGTAGAGGCTATATGTCTATCGAAGCAGATTGAATTTGTGAGGATTCTTCCTCTCTTCAGTAACCAAACAAATAACTTAACTCGTTCTAGACAACATAATTGCCATATCCATATCCATTCTCCGACTTCGGGGGTGTCAGGTAGACGCAATTGTAAGAGGAGTTGGAAGGTGGATTTAACAAAGAAGACACCATTGGATCAATTGTGCCAGTACATGGTATCTTCCAAGTGACCTACAATAGGTAAAGGGATAGTTGCAATAACATGTAATAAATTGTCTGGGAGAAATCCTGTTCGTAGAGCTAAATTCCATTCAGAATTGTTAGTGATAGCAGCCACTGGTAAGTCAATGAGATGGTGTGGAATTGGAGTTAATGCAGAGTCAAGAAGCTTTGAGTTACCTGCCCAAACATCATGCCATAACTGAATTTGCATACCTGAACCGACTCGCCATCGTATTCCAAGATGCAGCACATCCGTACATTTCAGAATGCTTTCCAAGTGGCAAAGGAGGAAGGGGTGGCATTGCAGCTTAAAAAGCTATCCGAATGGAGGTATTTATGGGTGAAAGCCTGACACCATGGTTTGTTGCTTCCAGAAAGCATGTGCCAACCCAATTTTGCAATGAAAACTCTATTATTATCCCTTGCAATCCTCCACCCCAAACCTCCATATTTCTTGGGCAAGCAAACATTATTCTAGTTAACAAGGTGTGGTGTGTTGGAGTGCATATCTGTACCCCAAAGGAACTTGTGATTTAAAGCATCAATTTCTGAGCAGATGTTGCTTAATAGGAGAACTATTTGCATGGTATAAGTTGGGATCAAAAAGGTTACAGATTGGACCAAATTTTTTCTACCTGCCAAACTCAAAAGATTTTGTTTCCATCCTGTAAGCTTAAGCTGCATTTTTTCCAAAATGTATTTATATGTACTAGATTTGGACCTGCCATGAAGGATTGGAACCCCTAGGTAGATCCCTAAATCGTTTGTGAGAGGGATGCCACAAGTTGTGCTATAAGGGTTTGCTAAATGTCTTTAGACATTTGACGAAACAAATAATTTTGATTTACTCAGATTTAATTCTAGCCCCGAGCATCTAGCAAATTCTGAAAGGCAATCCATAATAGTCTCAATCTAGGAAGGTAAGGCTGTACCAAATAACATGAGATCATCTGCAAAGAACAAATGAGAGAAGGTCAGTCCTCCTCGTGAAATCTTGAAAGGTTTCCACTGATGTTGTTGTAATCTACTCAAAATTATATATGAGAGTTTCTCCAAGACCATGATAAAGAGGTAGGGTGATAAAGGATCACCTTGACGCAACCCTCTTTGTGGTTGGAAATAAGGGAGCTTTTCTCCATTCCAAATGATTGAAAGCTGCAAGAAGGTGACCAAGAACATGATTAACCGAATTAGAGGTTTTGGTAGATTGAAATCAACAAGCACTTTATTGAGGAAACCCCAATCCATGCTGTCAAAAGCTTAT